TTTATAAAGTTAGGTTCTCATAAAAACTTTAGAGTGGTGGACCTATTCTACAGTTGAAGAAACTAACAAAGGGAGCATTTCAAATGCGGAGTTGGGTTAAAACTCAGTTTAAATCTTGAAAATGGGACACTCTGGGTCACTGAAAGGTTAAGGAGGTAAAATACCTGAAATGTTCATGTAAAACTAACCCTTACCTACTGATCCAATGACTCATTCATTAACTTTGGTTCAACTTAAATTAGGTTTATTGGTTGTTTCGACTTCCCAAATACAGCTTTCCTTGGAAACAATTCTCATTATTATTACTAGCTGGCATTTTTCTTTGTATTTCTTTTACTTTTGAACTCCAACTCCTTGCTATTAACAGCATATTTCTGTGGAAGAAAGGGGGCCACTTACTAAACCTGACAAGCTCAGGGGAGGCCTGTGTGGCCATCTTACAAACTCAAAGACCTAATGCAACCACATAGGATGGTCTCAAATTAAAACTTTCTAACTAAAAGTACTTTATGGAGACTAGTCATGTACTAGGCTGGTATTTTCCCTAACAAGCATCAATCTTTATCTTAATTGAGTCTGTCTGTTGTCTCTTTGAATCTATGATAACATACCTTTGGAATATGAAAGTTTCCTTTCTCCAGACCCCTCAAAGCACAGGCACTGCGCCAAGGGGAGACCTCGAATCCCCTCATCGTTATTGTTATCATGTTAGTTGTTGACTATTAACTATCCTGTACTCACCTGTGTAAAAATAGCTCGTCAGTTCACTTTTTATCCAATCCCAGAGGTTCTCCACACTCCGCCCCCTGCCCAGTTTGTTTCTCCTGCCTCCCTAATCTATTATCAATGGATTTCTTGTAACCCCCTTACTTATGCCTTTTCTTTGATTGTAATGCATAAAATAAGATTTATTCTCCAGAGAATTTCTCAATCCACTGAGATTTTCCTTCCCAACGATTTGTCAGTTCGGTTCAAATAAACTCACAAAAATTCTCTATAGATTTGAGTGTTTCTTACATTGACATTTCCTGTAATTCTTAATACTGATACAGTTTCTGGGTTTAAGAGTTAGGGATGCCTGCACAACTAAGTCCTCGGGCTTCTCAGTGATTCTCCTAATGCCTGAGGCACTCCCTTCAGTCCTGCCAGCCTCCTTCTGAGGGTGTTGAGCTTCTGGCAACACGTAGCACAGCTGACACCTGGTGGGCAGGAACAATTATTGCACCACTTCACTTTAGAAACCATAGACCCTGAAATCAAGTACATTCCCCTGAACAAAATAAATAGGCTAGAATCCCTTTCTCAGACATCAGGCACTTCATCTCTACAGTAAAGCCAGGCCTGACATTCCTAAACTTCTCTAATGTTTTATTTAGCTTTCTAAATTTCAGTATCACAAGATTTTTTTAATGCAATCATTGTGAAAATTTAAAAAAGCCTTAAAAGAAACATGTTTATTTTATTTTATTTTTCATTTTTTAAAAATTTTATTAGTTATTTTTCAAGTACAGTTTTTTGTCTCTTTTTCCCATCCCAGCCTCCCCCGCCCCTTGCTCCCCATCTCCCTCCCATTTCCACCCCCCTTAGTTCTCGTCCCTGTGTCCTTCCTATTTGTTCCTCCAAATCCCTCCCCCTTTTTCCCCTTAACTTCCCTTCCTTCTCCCCTGTGGTCACTATCCCCTTGTTCTCTATTTCAGTGTCTTTGTTTTTTTTTTTTTCTGCTTGCTTGTTTATTTTGTTGTTTAGCTTCCTGTTAAAGGTGAGATCATATGGTATTTGTCTTTCAGCACCTGGCCTATTTCACTCAGCATAATGCTTTCCAGTTCCATCCATGTTGTTGCAAAAGGTAGTAGCTCCTTCTTTCTCTCTGCAGCATAGAATTCCATTGTGTATATGTACCACAATTTTTTGATCCATTCATTTACTGATGGGCACCTAGGTTTTGATGAGATCCCATTTGTTTATTCCTTCCTTTACATTCCTTGCTCTAGGGGACATATCAGTAAAGAAGTTGCTGCGTGAAATATCTGAGATTTTCTTGCTGATGTTCTCCTCTAGGACTTTAATAGAATCTCCCACAAATATTTTTTAAAGGTGATTAAAATATTGCTGCATAAAATACAAGAAACAAAACCTATCAGCATATTTGCATATTCTTCTACATGTATGATGGATCCAAAGTTAATAAGATACAATAAGGAAAAAACATTTAAAAGTACTTCTTGTCCATTCAATGCACATTTACTAGGTGCTTACCATGTCCCAAGAAACATGGTAGATCTGGGGTATAACTGTAAAATGTGGTTGGAATTCAATACATATGAACATTGTTTGTTTTAAAAAAGTATGTTATGCTCATCACTCCTAATTTATTTTTCCCAATATCATCTGGACCACCTAGGGCATTGTGTGATGTAGTATTACTAAAAACTATACGTTACCATGTCAAATTCCTAAAATCTCCTGCTTGTTATGAGTGACTTCCTCAGTTTTCTTGCTACAACTATATATCATTTCCTTTTTTATCTAAAATAGTATCCTTGTCTCTCTGCCCTAGGAATAAAATGCTACATAATTTTGTAAAAATTTTATTCCTTCCTCCTCATATAAAGAATAAAGTTGTAGTACAAATAGCACTGATTTTTAAGAACGAATGACTGGGTTCTATCCTGGACATGATGATGCCTACCGTGCCTCCTGACAAAAGAATTCTGGCTCCCTGCTTCTCCATCGTCTCATCTGCAAAAAGGTAGTAACAAAATCAACACTGTATTTATAAAGAAACGTTACATATAATAAATCTATAAGACTACGATAGTAGACACAAATTCATGTTAACTCTCCTCCCCTTTCTATTGTTTTCCAAAATTTTAGTGCTTTCATTTCACCAAAAGTATGCATTTCTCAGTCATGACAGAGGATTACATAACAACTTTCATGTTTCAATTAGAAGAATGTATTACTTAATGTAGAAGAATCATATTCTGTGAAGAAGCAGTCTTCACCTGGAGAAATAAATAGCAACTCATAGTATTTTAATGTTTATTTATTTACTTCAGAAAGAAGAAACACTGATGTGAGAGAAACCGTGATCTATTGCCTATCAATCTGTTGCCTCTCGTATGCACCCCAGCTGGGACAGAACCTGCAAGACAGGCATGCCCCCTGACCAAGAATTGAACTGATGACCTTTCACCTTGTGGGATGTCCCTCCAACTGAGCCACAATGGTCAGCGCATAATACATAACTTTTTATGGATTTATGACTCATACTAATTTGAAACCAAGGGTATTCTTTACAAAATTACCTTTTAGTTCCTCAGTACAAATCTGTTGTTTTAGCACTTCCATGTGTGGCTCCAAAAAAACCCATTGATCATGCTGTAATACTTTGAGTCAGTTCCAGACAAAGGACATGGACTTCGACATTTCTGATACATTTCTATACCATCTATACTACGGAAGAGGAAGGAATCTTAAAAAGGCTCCCTGCTTAAGTCCCAGGCAAAATACCACAGTATTCAAAACAGACAATTGATGGTTTACAGTCTAATTGAGTTTAGTCTTCTGGGCAACATGTTTTTATTTATATATAATTAATGTTTGTGTTAATGCAGGTTAACAAAAGGAAATTTGTCAGGTTCTCTTCACAGTAGCACTTTTTCAATTCTGAAAAATTTCAAGTCACCTCTTTTCCAGGTTAAATCATTCCATTAAAAAGCTCTGTACCACTTAAAAACAACATTGGCAAAATGAGAAGGGAACCAACAGTTTGGGAAAACATATTTGACAATGATACCTTGGACAAGGGCTTAATCTCCAAAATATGTAAAGAACTCACACAACTCCACTACGGGAAGACAAACAACCCAATTAAAAAATAGGCAAAGAACCCTAACAGACACTTCTTCAAGGAGGACATGCAGAGGGTCCAAGGACATATGAAAGGATGCTCAGCATCACCATCCATCAGAGAGATGCAAATTAAAACCATAATGAGATACTACTTCACACCGGTCAGAATCACCATCATAAACAAATTCACAAACGACAAGTGCTGGCGATGATGTAAAACAAAGGAAAGACTAGTACACTGTTGGTGGAAATGCAGACTTGTAAAGTCACTGGAAAAGCAGTATGGAATTTCCTCAAAAAACTGAGTGGGACTGCCTTTTGACACAGCAATTGCACTGCTGGGATTATACCCTAAGAATCCTGAAACATCAGTTGAAAAGAACTTGTGCACCTCTAGGTTCATAGATGCACAATTTACAATACCCAAGTGCTGGAAGCAACCTAAGTGTCCTTCAGTAAATGAATGGATCAAAAAGCTATGGTATGTTAACACAGTGGAATACTATGCAGCAGAAAGAAAGAAGGAGCTTCTATTCTTTATGACAGCATAGTCAGGGGAGAGAGATAATAGGGCAAAGAAGGGGAAGGACCATCAAGGGGCGTATAAAAAAAGGATCCATGGATAAAGGCAATGGAGTAGGGGAGGACTGAATGTGGAAGGTGGGGGGTGGACAGGTCAGGAGAGAGTAACGGAAGAAAAATGGGGACAACTGTAATTGAATAATAAAAAAATTAAAAACAGTAAATCATTCCAGCTCCTTCCATTTTCTTCACAGAGTATAACTTAAACATTTTTTTTTGCATTTTATGAACTATTTGGGTTTCTTGTCATTTTACTAATACTTAAAATATTATAATTCCCAGGCAAAGTACTGGAGAAGCAGCTTAGTAGTAGAGCATATTTTTTATAATTGTGAAGAAAAATGGTGAATCCTGTATCACGGAAATGCTACTAAGGAAAACTAAATTCAACACATATGGCACAAGAAACTTAAGAGACTGGTGTGGAGATCATACCTTTATCAAATCAGTAAAGTTAATAACTGAAGTGCTGTTGAGGCTATGTCTAATCTATTTAATCATCAACACATTCAATATATATTTTGCAGTGAGCTGACAGAATAAAAAAAGGATTAAGAAAAAGGAAGATATAATTTCTTTATTTAGGGCATTTATAGCATCCTAGGAAAAAAATACAGATATATGAAATTACACATTATCAGGAAAAAATACACAGAAACTTCCAAAATAATGGAATAAAAACTGAGTCTGTAATTGTTGGAAAATGAGGAACAGAGGAATGATGAAAGTCAGATTGAATTATCAAAGGACAAGATTTCTAGGGAACTCATTTTGAAAAACAGAAAATTCTCAGAGGTTATCTAGTCCATACCTATCCCATGTGTTTCATCTTATTATAAAGAAAAAAATGAGTGACAAAGAAAAGTTGTGATATTGATATTATAAAATCTTCCTTTTCATCACTGCTTTCAAAATCAGTTAAATTTAATTGGTTTTCCTCTTCCCATATGAAAATATTCTCATCCTCAAAAACATAAAATATTTTTACTACATTTCTGTTGTTGGTATTTCAGGGTGTCTCAACTTGGCAAACTAGGCAGCCTTGACCCAGCATTTTAAATGAGAAATAATAGTTGATATTTTCTCATATTACTTGGTTCAGATTTGTCCTTGAGCTCTAGAAGCTGTTGTTTAATAAGTTGTTATTCTCATCAACTGCTTCGAACATTTCATTTATCCGATTGCTGGGCTCTTGAGTATTTGCATTTACATCACCCACAACTAACAATGATGTGTACAAGAAATTTACACAAAACCTTTCCCTTAAATATAACTGAAATTTCTTTACATTATCTTCTTTCTTTAAGTGCAAGAAGTTGGTTCTTTTTGATTTTTTTCTTCTACTGAAATAAAGTTGATCAAATATATCACCAATGTCATTATCAATAAATGCTTTTCGACTATTTGCCTTATTCTTATCTTTGAATGTGTTCATGTTTTTGCTTGACTCTAGTAAATAGGGGTGTGTTTTCATCCATAAGTGAAGTTCCAAGGAATTTTCAATATCAGAACCTTTGCAATATGCAAATCCTCGTTCTTCCTCATTTATAGGTTGGATAATAACTGTTAGTATTGGGCAATGTTGACCACAAATAGCATAGAGTTTATCCAAAGAGTCTCCTTCCTGAAGTGCACCATGAATACTATTATTTCCAGGCAATGGTTGGTTTTTAATAGTATCATCAGAGACAGGATGGACTTTATTGGGAGTTGTAAAGACATGAGTGACAGATGTGCATATTCTTTCTGACCTATGATCACCTTTATTCTCTGTATGATGATTTGGTATTCTCTCTTTGGGGCAAGTTTTATTTCGAACATCTAACAAATTTTCATGAAAAGGCTCAGAGTCACTACAGTGAGGCATGTTAAAATCACTGCACTTCAGTTCAAGAGGTTGAGTCAGTTCCTCCAATTCTGAAGAGGATAGTTCAGCCATATTAGGGCCTAGGGCCAAATTTCCAAAATGTGAATATAGTACCTCATTACTATTATTATCAAATAGAGTATCCACTGATGTAGTGTCTGCATTGCCACACTTGTCAGAATTTTCAGGAGATGATACTCTTAGCATATGATTTTCTTTCAGAAGCCACTTTCCGTTGTCAATCAGTACTCCTTTCTCTATGTCCTTGAGGATTCTGTTATGGTCACTTTGTTTGTTAATATGTTCTCCAATGTGCCTCCCATGATAATTGGACCTCAGATTATCAAAGTCACATTTATCTTGCCTTTCCTCCTGAAATTTCTGCAACTTAGATGAACTACTAGATACCTGTTCAGAACAGTGAAATGACTGACCTTCAAAATCATAAAGACCTGGTTTTCTAGCACACTGAAATTCCATAGAATTGTAAGGACAAACCTGAGGTCTGTTTGAAGACCCAGGGAAAAAAGATGGTTTAACAATCTCTGCTTTACCATAAAGTTTTTCTATTGTTCTTTTAACAAATCCTTTATTGTATTCTTTCTCTTGAGCAATCTCTTCATCATTGTCATTAGGACCATCACTGGATATTTTATGTGGTTGGTCATTCTCACTGTCATGTTTATAGTCTGAACAATCAGAAGTCACTGGTCTCTTGAAGCAGTTTTTAAAATCAAGAGAGGACTCTGAACAACTTTCAATTTCTATGTTTTTCATCTTCATTTTTACTCTAATTTTAGTTTCTCTTTCATTGAGCTCCTTTTTGATATTTTGCTTAGCATCACAGCAAAACAATAAAGATGGTGGTGTTTTCAGCCTCTGACTGGTTGTCTCACAAATTACACCATTCCTTCTTTTTTCTTCTGTAATGTTCCTTATAGGGACTTCTATCAATCCCAAATTTCTACTACCCTCTAACTCTTTCTGGATCAATTCTTCAGTACCTTGCTCTCCTACATTTAGTTTTGTATTAGAGAGATCAATGTCTTGCTTTTCTAATTCTTCAAAAGATTCCAATTCTGAAATGTGTCTTTCCCTTGATGTTATACTGTTGGTTATTGAGCTTGGTTCTTCAGAAGTCTTTGATTCCTGATCAAAGAATACATATGCATTTTCATCCTGAAATTTCTTTAATGAACAATTTTTAAATTCAATTAGAGCACTGTGCTTCTTATCAAATTCTGGTTCAGTTGCATTTAGGAAATAGTCACAGTGGCTTAAATTGCTATTCCGGTCTGACACCAACATATCATAACCATGTTTATACCCAGGGTCTGCCAAAGTATTTTGGTCTTTCTGAACATCATTAACTATTTCTAACTCTTCAGTCAATTCCAGATTATCAGTATATGTGATTTTGTTGGAATTTAAAAAGTCATTGGTATTGCAGAATTTGATGGGAATGTAGGCCCCATCAATTGGGCAAGCTCTCTCATAAGTACAGTTATCCTCATGTGCCTTATGGGAAGACACAGCATCAGTAAGTGGACAGAAATCCTCTACAAAACAAGCCTGATTTATAGAGGTCTGATCCATGATATAGCCATCACTGTGGGGAAAAATGTTACTGAGGCTACAAGTCTCTTTTGGAGGATAAATCTTACTCACAGTGCACATCTCACATGGACAGCAAGTCACCTCTGAAACACAAACTTCAGGAGTACAGTCCTCACTGGCACTTAAAGAGATTTTCTGTGTTCTTTCATTTTCAATGTACTTAGTAACTCTCTGAACATTGTGTGTGGAGTGTGTGGAACAATTTGCAGTAAGACATACTGGAATCACATCTTGTCCTTTTTCAGTGAGTCCAAAGGGATTTGTAGTTGACTCCACTAAACTGGAAACAGCAGCCTTCAAGTCATCAGCTTTCTCTGTGATGGCAATGTGCTTTAGAACCTCCAACAGAGCAAGTAGTTCTGAAGTTCTGTTGGTAGTCTCATGATCATTGCCTTGACTGAAGCTATTCATACTTCCCTTTAGGTTTAGCACCAGCAGCCAAGCTAGAAGGACATTAGTGGATGAATTACATATTGGGGAATGGAAAGGAACATCTACAAGTGAACCTGGCATTTGAATAACACCATTCTGAGTCTTGTGAATATTGGGAACTAAAGCTTGCAGTTGGCGAAGCAACAGGACTAGTAAGAGGTCTTTTGGAGTGGCTTCTTCAATTGGATCTACTTGGATGGCAGCCTCTACACTTTGCCCTTTTGTGGATAGGTGTATTTCTTGGTAAACAAAGCTTGGTAAACAAGGTCCTGACTTTTCAACAGATACTTCACTCTTAGTATCATGGTCATCAATAGCTGACTGTGACAAAGTACCACATTCATGTAGTGAAAGCAAACAAGCATTCAGAGATTCAACCTGGCTCTTGTGGAGATCTTTGGTAAGTTCTTCACTATCGTTATCTTTGTCAAAAGATTTACCTGTCTCTTTACCTAGATTATTTCCTGTCACACTGGCATTTTTAGTTATGTGCTTATTATTTTCCATAACAAAATTATTTCCTTTTTCAGATTTTATATGGTAATTATTTCCTGGTAAATCATTGTTACAATTTACCATGCTCTTTTCCTTTTTGCATATTGGTGTTGATTGTTTAGGTGGCAAAGCTGAATGTGGATTAATGTTCTGCAACCATCTCTGTATATAATGTTGAACTGAACGATGGGTAATATCCTCAGGAAAAACAGCTTTTTTCAAAGAAGGTAAGTGACTTGCTCGTGTTGTAACACGTTGTTTACTAAAAATAGTTCCTGATTTTAACTTATTCTGTATTTGTTTTTTCTGGCTTTTTAGAGTTACCTGTGAATTATTAAATTTTGAAACTAAACTCTTTTTTTCCATTCTTCTCAAATGCCATGATGCTATTTCTGTTTGAGTCTGGGGTCCATAAAAAGCCCTGGGGTTTTGATCAAGAAAGTTAAACACATGAAATAAATTTTGATTTTCAAAAGTATTTTTGCAATATCTGAATTCATTATGGGGAAATGCTTTATCTCCTTGACCAATTTCTTTTTTTACAGGTCCTCCTAAGCTTACTTTGTTTAGTGGTCTGATTTTTCTTTTAGTTAAAAGTCCTTGAACCTTAGAATTCTGAATAGTATTTAATTTATTTATTTGGAAATTTTTGGAATTCTCAGCACTGAGATTACTTTTGGAACAAAAATAATTTGTTTCTATTACCATATCACTTGCATGGAGATCTTCCTCGCAAAATAGCACTTCTTTAACTGGACTGTATGAATCCTGCAATATGGTTTTCTGTGCAACTCTACTTCTTGTGTTTATGTTCTTACTCTTATAAGGGATTTGTTTAGTTGTAATCTCCCCACCCTGATGCCTATAATTTATCATTTGCTGTTGAGATTTTGTCTTCTTTTTTCTGACAGCAGATGACGCAATCTGCTTTTCAATTTCTGGAAATTTTGACAAACTGCACTGAACAAATTTATTAATTTGTCCATCAATTCTTCTGATGACAGGAGAAGATCTTGCTGAAGCTGGAGTCTCAGAAAGAGCTCTGTCAATTCCAGAGTTACTTGAAGAATGAATTGCATCTGCAGAAACAGGATGGAACCTATCACTGGTGCCACCACAATTTCTTAAGTTCTTGATATCAGTTTTGTTGTCTGATGTTACACTATCAACTATACCTTTTTCCACAATTAAGTTTCCTGGTATAGTACATGATAAGCCATTATTATGGGACATCTCTAAAACCTTCTGACTTGTAATTTCTATAACACCAGCACTTATTGCACTTGACTTGAGTTTTCTGCTTTCCTTTTTGCTTTCTAAAGATGACTCCATCTGCTCATTGTTATCTATCTGAACAAATACTGGTTTATTAGATACTGATGACATTTTACTACAAGAATGTGTAAACAAGTGATACTCAGATTTGTTTTCCCCATCTTTCCTTTCTTCACCATAGGTAAATTGTCCGATCATTTTCTCTTGAACTTCAGTTTCAGATAGGAAGGTCACACTCCCTATCACAGATTTCTTTTGTCTCCCTCTCCTTGGACCAGGTGTAGGAGGCCTATAAAAATGATGATCTTCTTGACCCTGAGTTCCCTGAATAGCACTTGTGTCCCTAGCAGCATTCTCTGTACTAGAAGTTTCAGCCTCTCGATCTGTCATTTGAGTGTTTATCTCCTCTACCAAACTGTCCTCTTGGTTATTGTCCTTCTCGAGGGGTGAGACATCAGCAGAAAATGAGTATGTTTCAATCTTTTTACCAGATGAAAGATCTGCTCTTACTGGAAAACTGCTTATCTCATGGTCTTTGTCATTATTAGAAAGACCAGATTTACTGACATTGGCTGTCCATTTCATGGTTTCCTCTTCTTTTATCTTAAATCGAACTTTCATCTCAACTGTCACAGTGCCATCTTGATTAAAAATAATTGATTTCTCAATATTGTCTTCAGAAGGATATATCAGTAAATTCTGAGAATCCTTTTTTTCTAAGGCCAACCTATTTTCAGGAGCAAAGGAACAGTTTGCATAGTGATCATTATCATGCATTTTGTCAGAAGAAGCAGAATAAATCTGGGACCTTGGACTTGAAGGCATACGTGTGCTTACTTTCAAGATTTTACAAGTAAAAGATGCCCCACATCAAAATATAAGGTGGAAGATAAAGAAATTATATATACAAATATCCAATAGAAGAGGCAGCAAAGAAGAAAAGGAAAAAATGAAATAATTAGTGCAAAAATACCATTATTTTCTAAATTCCATAGTAAAAATGACATTAATATGTTTCTCACTTCTATGCATTCATTAATTTTTTTAAATTTACTGTAATATCTGGTACATTTCTACAAACTATTCTTTAAAAAGGCATAATTATAACTGAATGAGGAGATTTATAGGATTTTAATTCTGTGTTGAATAAGGCCATTTTAAAAACAAAAGTATAAAACAAAAATTGCTGAGGATTCTACCAAAAATAGATCAGTGCAGTGTTTAGTTTTGTTGTTGATGTCCTTTACCAGTATTAAAATTCAAGTCTAACCAAGTATTGCTCACTTATTCAAACAAAGCAAGTAATAATTTACTGTGGTATTTATTTTCCTTTTTGCACATATCCAAAAGAGACATGTATGGCATTATAAAAGCCAAAGCATTTTATAATTTATTTAAAGGTTACATTAATCAAATAATTATTAAGTTAGCACTCACTCTGTATAATCAATGTATATAACTTAATATAGGGCACAAAAGAGGGTTAAACATAAGACCCAGATATCTCATTATCTTTATAATGTGTATATCTAAAGATAATCTTGGTACTCATCCTTCTTACTTGCAATCTAATTTTTATTAGTGATTTATATAGATTTTCACATTCTTGCCACCAATTAAATACTTTTACCTTTTCAAAATACAAACCTAGAAATATTTTCTCTTATCGCTCTGTACTTTTACCAAAACTGTTAATGAAAATATCCCACTCACAATTTTTTATAGTAAAGTTTAAGGAAGCCCTCAGATTCCCTGAAACAATCAACAGTAGAGGAATCGATACTATTTATTCCACCTCTGAATAAAAGTAAAACTAAAATTTAAGTATAAATGGTAACCAGTATTCTAGTATGGAGTTAAGATACTTAGCACAATGAATAATGAGATTAGCTATGCATGCATGGGTATTTATAGACTATGCCACACTCCTAAGCACCAAGATGCCATCTGCCACCCCTCCACAGGAAAATAGCACATTATACAGTATTTCCTAAGAAATTATCAACCTAGATTATTACAGCAAACCAGCATGAAATGGCTACATGAACCTTTTCTTTAAAAAAATAAAAGGGGAATCTATGGGCCTGTGGTTTTTACTTCAATAAATGGAACATGTATAAAGTTAGGGATTTTTAAAAATACACTCAACTAACCTACTGAGCTCTGCATGATACTACTTAAAGAAAACTCAGCAACTACCAGAGCTTTCACTTACATACTCCATAGAATTGCTCTCCAAATGAAGAGATGTTGGCATTTGATTTTTTTAAATCTGAGTATTATATAAAAAACTCATACTTCATTAATTTAATTTAAACAATAATATCACTGATTGATATTGAAAAATCTAAAAAAATTATGAGATAATTTTTATGATTTTTCCAACCACTAATATAAATAATTTCAGTTTAGAATGTTTTTGATCCCATCATTTTATCCTCTGTGATGAAGAAAAATGGCCATTTACGCATGGATTTGTGTTGTTGTTGACCTAAAAAATCTCGGGGTTAAATATAAAGGCTACAGATGAAGTGACTTACTCTTCCTGCTTTCTGACCTAGTATATCCCTTGGCATACACACGATGAGAGAACCCTGGTAATCTGCCAGGAAGCAAGTACTTCTGGATTTCATATTTCTCTGGTTTAAACGGCTCCCTTCCAGCTGCCACCACAGCTCCAGAGCTCAGCATCACCGCCTGGAGACTGGGAACCTAGAAGAAACCAAAGGGTTACAGTCCTTACATAAGCGGCATGAAGTTGTTGTTCTTTCCATATGGTAATGTTACAACTGATTTAATCAATTCAACAACCTCCTGGGCTTTAAAGAGATAATCGCCAAGTATTTATTAGGCATCAATGATGTGTACAAATAAGGAAAATACCCAAGTGTGGGTGCTCGAGGTTAAACCAAAACCCTTATTGAGCCTGCATACTAGCTGGAAAGAGACAGGCTGGTGTTCCATCAAACTACGGAAATCTTTAAAAGGTCTCCTACTGCCTCTACCATCCCCACCAACATATCCAGCTATAGCCTAATGTCTATGCACCAGAGGACAAAGGGCCTAATGGACACAGCAGGACTGGGAAGGTGAGCTTCTGGGGACACACAGACAACTATAGGGGAACTTTCCCCTGCCCCCCCAACAGGGATTCCAGGAAAATACTTTCTCTACCTAGCAGATTATGACTCTCTGCTACTCCTTTTCAAGAAATATGGTCTAGATCACACTCTATGCCAACATATTATATAACTCAGTACTCAGGGAAGGCAGAAAAAGGGGACGGAGCATTAAACAGAAAGCAAGCTCCAGTGTCACTTCATCAGCTTCTGACTGGGGAACAAAAGAACCACGCTCCCAGGTGAGCCAGCCATGTCTCCTGAGGATGCGAACACACAAGCACACACAGGCAAGGGCGACTAAAGGCTTCCTTCCCCAGGGCCGAAGTCACGCAAGACAAGAGCTCAGACATGAGGAGCTTCAAGAATGCTCACCTTCCTTCCATCAGTGGAGTAGAGCTTGGTTATGCGGCACTGCATGATCTCTGTCAGGTGCTGCAGAAAGGCCTCGAAGCTCTGGGTGAGCCTCCTGCTCAGAAGAATCACGTGCTGGGTTTTCGGGTTGCCGTTTCTGAAAACTGTAAGCCTCCGCGGGGTGTGCAGCAGGCTGGGAGTGGCGGCGGGGGAGTGGTGTGCATGTGTACTGATGGCTCGGCTGCTGTGCCAGGGCCGTGGGCGCCGTCGGGCCTGGTCCAGGTCCACAGGCTGCACCTTCCTGCTGTGGGAGCACAGGTAGGATTCACCGTCCTCCAGCTGCTCCAGAGACGTGATGCTGTGCCTTCCTCGAGGGGTGCTGATGTTCCTCACCCCAAAAGGTAAAGGTACCTTTCTTGACAAGTTATCCAACAGAGTATCAAAACTTTTAAAGGAACGAGGGTTGACCACGACCCTGACCCCTCCAAATTGTGGATCTCCACTCTTGTAGAAGCTTATCCTTTTGGCCACAACAGGATGAATGACGCTCATATGACGAGGTGAAGGAACTTGACCTTCAGAAGAAGTTGGATGGATCATGGAAAAACTGGTGGAAGGAGTTTCACTCATTTTGGCCAAGACCTAGAGAAGAGAAAAAAATATTCATCTCCAGAACAATAGCACCATAAAGGATACATGATAATGATGATGTAAGATAACTATGGTTGTGGATATCCAGGCTGTTCCTAGGATTTCATCCATTCATTTATTCATTCATGATACCTGCCTGTTTTGAAATATAATATTAAGGGCTTTACAATAAGAAAAATAAATGAAACAGTTAAATAACAGTATTTCTAGTTTAAAGATACCTAAAAACACTCAAAGTGACTAGGTAAAGAAATAACGATTATATTAACACCCATGCAATGGAAAGCTATGCAACCATTAAACCTGGCTTTCTAGATTTGTATTTTTAAGTATATTTTATTGATTATGTTTTTACAGTTTTCCCAACTTTCCCCATTTATCCCCCCTCTACCCTGCACCCCCCAACCCTCCAGCATTCCCCACCTTAGTTCATGTTCATGGGTCATACATATACGTTCTTTGACTTCTCTGTTTCCTATACCATTCTTAACCTCTCCCCGGCTATTTTATGCCTACCATTTATTCCTCTTATCACTGGCTGCCTTTCCCTTCCTCTTCTTCCTCTCCCCTCCTCACTGAAAACCTTCCAAGTAATGTTCATTTCGCTGGTTCTGTTCCTTTTCTAGTTGTTTCCTTGGTTTTTGTTTTCATTTGTTTTTTAGATTTAATTGTTGATAGTTGTGAGTTTGTTGTCATTTTACTGGTTCATAGTTTTTGATCTTTTTTTTCTTAGATAAGTCCCTTTAACCTTTCACATAATGAGGGCTTGGTGATGATGAACTCCTTTAGCTTTATCTTATCTGGGAAATACTTTTTATCCTCCTTCCATTCTAACTAATAGCTCTGCTGGATAGAGTAATCTTGGATGTAGATCCTCGCCTTTCATGACTTCAAATACTTCTTTCCAGCACCTTCTTGCCTTCAAGGTTTCTTTTGAGAAATCAGCTGCTAGTCTTGTAGGAACTCCTTTGTAGGTAACTCTCTCCTTTTTCTCTTGCTGCTTTTAAGATTCTCTCCTTATCTTTAATCTTGAATAACTTAATGATGATGTGCCTTGGTGTATTCCTCTTTGGGACACTCTGGGCTGCCTCGACTTCCTGGAAGTCTATTTCTTTCGCCAGATTGGGGAAGTTTTTCTTCACTATTTGTTCAAATAAGTGTTCAACTTCTTGTTTTTGTTCTTCTTCTGGAACCCCTATGATTCAGATATTGGAACATTTGAAATTGTCACAGAAGTTCCTAAGTTTCTCTTCATTTTATTGAATTCTTATTTATTTTATTCTGGTTGGATGGTTTTTTTTTTTCTTTTGTTGCAGATCACTGATTTGAGTCCTGGTTTTCCTTTCCTTCACTGTTGATTCCATGGACATTTTCTTTTATTTCATGTTGGGTAGACTTCATTTGTTCCTTCATTTTGTGATCGAGCTCAATCAGTTCTGTGAGCATCCTGATTACCAGTATTTCAAACTCTGCATCAGATAGTTTGGCTATCTTCTCTTTGCTTAGCGCTTTTTCTGGAGTTTTGAGATGTTCTTTCATTTGGGCCATATTTCTTTGTCTCAGTGAACCTGTTATATTGTGGGGGGTGGTGTCTTAGTTATTCACCCAGGCAAGGCAACCCTCTTTGCTGTGTCCTGACACTGTCTGTGGGGGAGGAGTCAGAGGAGGAACAGTGTAGCTCACTTGCTGGGCTCTACCCCCACTTTTCAACATGTGAGACTGGGAGTTTTTCCCACTGTGGCAACCCCCATGGTAGTTTACAGCCAGCTTGAGTCTTTAGTTTCCTGTTCAGTCAGCCCTATGTTGCCAGGACAGTCCACCACTTGCCTTGGGTCTTCTCTGCCTCCTCCCACCCATCTCAGTCTCTCCTACCTCTCTGGTGAAGGTTTCTTTAACTCCTTGGTTGTCAGAGTTCCATGCAGTTTGATTTTCTGGCACTTCTGGTCATTTATTGTTTTTAGATTGGTTGTTATCTTCCTTTAGGTTGTGCAAGGAAGTGAAGAGTTTCTACACAAGCTTTCATCTTGGCCAGAACTCTAGATTTGTATTTATTGGTGTAGAAAAATGATCACAACCTATCAATAGGTGAAAAAGTAGTTTGTAAAATACATGTGCTATGCCATTGCCTATAGGGAACTAATCTACCACAAATGTAGCTCAGCCCTGGTTTGGAAAACTGACATACTTGAGGCAGCACATAGGAGCCAGGCCCACAGATCAGCTTTTCCATGGGGAAGCAGGCCTCTATTGCACCTCGGCTGCTTTGAGGCTTGCTTTTGTTAAAACTCCCTCACCCTGAATTGAAGCAGAAAATGTTTACTTTATATCTTTAAGGTAACTTCCTGAAGTCTGTGCTAATAATCCCAAGGATAAAGTGTAACCAGTTCTACCACTTTTCCCCTTGCATTTGCAACATCCTTTTCCTTGAAGTAATCAGCAACATCCTTTTTTTGTTATCTGTAAAAGGTAACCACCTAAAGCAAACATGTGCATAGTAAATGAGGACCATCCTTGATGTAATGTGCCCAGAAAAGCAATAAAAACTTGTCCAGGCAAGTGTCAGGGCCCTCTCTCACTCAGAGAGTAACCATGCCATCCCTTTTTTTCCACAGGACTTCTGTAGTTCATGTGCATTTGTCACATGCATAACACTACGGACCCAGCTGGTCAGAGTCTGCATCAATTGCCAGTGTATTGTACTGGCTCTCTGTATCCATGGAATTCACGTCTGTAGTCCAAACAACTACAGATGGAAAATATTCACGAAAAATTGTTTACATTTTTGCTAACGTGCACTATGTAGTTATGCCTACAATGGTTGCATCTGTATTGAATATGTACAAACTTTTTTCAATGTCCTTATCTCTAAACAATACAGTTTAATAACTATTAATATAGCATTCTCATTGTATCAGGTATAATAATCTCAACATAACTTAAAGTATATGGGAGTATGCACATAGGTTATATACAAACACTATGACATTTCATATAAGGGGTTTAAGCATTCACAGATTTTCAGATTAGTGGTGTTCCTGGAAACAATTCCCCCATGGATACTGGGGTCCAACTTGTATATAGAAGATTGGGCAAAAGTAACTTAATAATACTAAATAATATGATAATTAATAGGGAAGTAATACAGGAATTGTGTTTCATGTACTCACAATTGTAAATCTACTTTCACCCACACCCGTTTATTTGTTATACTAGTGGAAAAAGACCAAAAGTAAGTATAGCCCAGTATTGATTGTAGTTATCCATGGATGGCAGAGCTAGTGATAATATTTGTGTTTTTTATACATTACTAAATATTATGAATCTTTAAAATTAACAGATATTATTGAACAATTAAAGAAATAAAATAGATGCAAATCAGAAACACCCAATGCAAAAATTAGTCCTGCATGTCCTGACAATCAAGGAAAAATGGGGGAAATAAGAAAAGTTTATAAACTTCAAATTATCTATTGGATAAAACCAAATGAGTTCATCTGGAGGAAAATGTTTTCTAACATTGAATTCTACCAGAAATGTATAACACAGATCCTTAAATAATAGCAATATTGAGGTTGTGTAAGATGTTTCCATTACCGATTACAGAAAATGCAGGCAAATTATCTAACACTACACTAATCCTACATTGAGAAACTACACTAAAAAAAAAAACATGTGTTTAGACTGACAACATTGGTATGTGCTGCTAAAAGTGGTGTAATCTGAATATTACTTCCACTAATGGTTCAAAAATAAGAACTTCAAGAGGAAATTTCAGAGCCATTTTTAGCCAATCACTGAGGTTTTTCTTTTCCACTTCCCAGTAAACCAAAGGTCTGATTGATAAGTAAGCTTCTTGTGGAAGGGTTTATCTGTTTCTGGGCTTGTTTTTCATTTGCAGCATGTTATAGCTATTTTCTATTATTTTAAATCGATATAATTATTAGTACCTTTTGTCACAGTGAGAATGCCCAGCAGCCTTGAAGACAAATTGAACATCACAAATAAATGTGATCAGTATTATAGAGATGAAAATGACATGTTTGTCGTTATACACTAGCTATAATTAGTCTGTCTCAAATCACCTACCTAACTAACTGTTTGCAAGTTGTTATAAAAGATTCTTCATATATCTCTAGTATAATTTGTAAATCTTCCTTATAGGTAATTTAGAAAAATGAATTTGGAGAATAGCCTAGAAATTAAGTGTGTCTCCTCTTCTCCCTCCCTGAGGGGTTTAAAGTAATTACAGTACTTAAGACGATAAAGGCAGCTGCAGTGAGCATGCGCATCAGGAGCTGGGGAATCCAGCTTTGCAATGCAGTCAGCAAAACTGGAACCTCTTCTCATCCTCCTGATAAACAGTGATATGACCTTGAACAGCATGCTGCTTAATCTCTGTGACCTCTTCAACTATAAGAGGGATGAATTTCTTTAGTATTTAAATAAAGGCTTTAGAACTCCTTCCTTCCAATTACTTTTTAGGTTGGTTTACTTACATATTTGTTTGAAAATATTTTTCATGAATAGTGTTTGAGATACATTTTTCATCTAATTTTGGAAAATTGTATTTATATATATTTAATGCACAATGGGGCTTTTAATTTCAATAGTTTTCTGCTTGGATCACACTATTTGGAGAGCTGTGGACCTGGTGATCATGTTGCTATGTGCACTGGTAGGCTATGGTTTTTGGTTCACTTGTTTGTTTGTTTGTCTGCGTTTGTTTGTAAGGGTAACTAAAATAGAGAAAGGAGATTTTGTGCCAGGACCAGGAAGGAGAACAAGGAAGATAAGTATAATTGGAGAGAAGGGAGAATAATAGGGTGGCCTATTGTTCTTATCCCACTGCTGCCCACTGCTGCCCAATGCTGAGCACTGTTTTTAAACCTGATGCATGAAAGGAAGAAGCTGAAAGTACCATTCCCTGGGAAGATGCCAGATGTCTAGTGGTATCTGAGGGAGAATTTGGAGAGAAACTACCTGCAGCAGGGTGGTTGCCAGTACTTTGATAAGGAGGCAGTAGCAAAAAAAACCCCACAAAAATATAAGTTTGTATGATCCTTATTGCACGTAAGAGTATCTCTTGGAACTCCTAAAATCACTGAGGGAAGTTTTTGATAATGTTGAGATTTTTGCATACATGCAGATGAGGTTTAAGAGGCTATGGGAAGGTGGGCATTGTGTGTATGGTATAGACATGATGGAGATTCAATATTATCATTGAATAAAAAGATCTATGTACATACACTGCACAATACCATCAATGGGGAAAGGAGTGCAAGCCAGTTGCCTTCCAGAGGAAGTGTTTCAGCTATTGCCTTGATCGTGTGTATCGTTTACATCGTTTACAGGGACCATGGGAAATCCACAGAGTAATTCAATAACACAGTTGAGGAAGAGTCAGAGTACCATGAGACTATTAAGGAGAGATGTGTAGCCTAACTGAGGGATAGGGGCTGAAGGTGGGAAGAGATGGCAGTATCCAAAGGAAAGCCTGTGTGTAGCTGTGGTGCCAGAGCCAAAGAGTGGTGATGATGTCTTCCAGGAAGAAGGCAGGAATGAGTGGGGAATCTGCCAGTGCACAGGAGTAAGACCAAAGACATGGTTAGTAAATCTTGACAGTAGCATTGCCTTTCATGAAACAGAGCTACCAGACTTCCACAACATTTTGTTACCCCGATTTAGTTGTGTACCTTTTTAAATCAGCCTTAAAAACTAATCAGAATTTGGATGCAGATTTAAAAATGTTTCTTTACATATGTTTTAAATTGTAAGGTTTATTCTATCTCTTGTGACATTGGGATAAGGCAGTAATATACTTAGGGGCTATCTAGTGAACAAACAAAATCTCAGGAGCCTAAAGCAGTCTAATTCTCCCAGCAGGTTAAGCTGAAAAAGAAGTGGAGGTGGACAGGAAAGAGGTACAAGGGAAACTGTAGAAATGAAAGCCCATCACTTCCCTCACCACTGATTTACCAAGAAGTAATAATGGACCTAGTTAACAAACTGTCTTGGCTCCAGCCCAGACATATATTGATATCTATTTCTAATAATTTGACAGCTTGCTACCAATATCTTCTCCTTTCTGCACTCTTTTCAGTGCTTAAAGTCAGACCATGGAACTATCATGAATACTAGTATTGCTTCTTAAGATTAAGTAGATTTTTTCAACACCCTTTGGTTGCCTACGTTCAATCACGACTATGCTTATCTGTGTTGTCTTTGCTCTCAATTATCTGTGCTGCTTGAGTGGAATGCAGTAGTTGCCCCTACCAAGAGAGATGTACCTTCTCTCCACTACTCATTTGACAAAACAAATCACAAACTTACAGTATGGTCAAACATCATTTCACTAATTGTATTTTAATTTTCATTTTCTACCATGAAGTAGGGATTTGGGAAATTCAGAAATAAGAATGACAAATAAGAAAAATGGTATATTCATAGTGTTAGTTCTGTGGCAAGTCAGAGATTTATTATAAGAAAAAATAATTAATTTTACAGATTATTGTAACTATGAGGTGGGACTGAGGGCTGGGGGTTCAGAAGAGAAATACTCCAATTATCCTCTATGGTAGACACAGCATTGTTGAATTATAATCATCTTCCTTCTTTAATGTATTGCATGGATTTCTCTAATCAGTAAATTGTGCATTTATAATCAGAAAAAAACTTTACTCATATTTGAATGCACCACAATTTCTTCATTTTCTGACACTGATATTCTCTCCTACTTCAATTTCAGCATACTGTGAAAGTTTGTGATGCATTTGGGTAAGAGACAATAATTATTAGAAATATTTCTTCTTTTTCTAATAGTTAAAGATAGAGCACAAGTATGCAATCTAGACATACAATGGAAAATAAAGTATAACTACCCAAATATCAATTATTTTTTAAAAATATTTTAAATAATTTTGTACTTACCAGACTTGAAACTTCCTTATTAAAAAAAAAAAGTGTTTGAAGTTGTTTGGATAATTCACATGAAGGTTACTGGATTTGTAACCTGCTCATTTTGTGCAAAGAAACTAATGTTTCTGTATTTATGGTTAGTGTATCCACTCAGGGATTAAGTGCAGCCAATTAATTTAATTCAAGGTGATGCTAATCACCAGACAGGATTCATCTTAAAGGGGACCACATCCATAAATAAGTCAGTTCCTAGCATGCATGCTCCACGGTTCTAAAATCTACCTAATTACTTTCTCTTGTATTATCTTGCTCACCTAGTGTCATCCTTAGGACAAAATACTTTGCCAATTGATAAACATTTGTCTCTCTAACAACCTTAAGTCTTCACTTATTTATATTAAGGAGGAAAAATAGCTATGCTGCCAAAAAATGAAATAGTTTGACATTGCATCATTCTTTGATCAGTAATTCTGAGTTAATATTTGTTAATAGTAGTCATTAAAAAGGAAAGGACTTGAGCCTTTTTGTTTTTAATTTAAGCACTCCCTATTACCTCACTGGTGTAGTTCTAATGAAAATGGCTGGAAACCTAAACAATTTGGCTGCTCAGCATAACACAAGACAAATGAGAGAGGCACCACATGAGGAAGTGAAGTAATTTCATACTTCTGTACACACAGCACTCTTCCACTGCTTTGTTTAATCGTGATGAGATTTGAACATATTTTAGGACTTTCCACACATGAAGTCCTTGGATGATACCTGCTGTCTCTAATGGCTACCTGTAGTCTAATCTGATATGAAGATACCTCACCTAACCAGATTTCTTTCTAGTCTTCCTGCCTCAGCTCTGAACCACAAGAACAAGGTAAGGGGCCCTTCGGGGAAAAATGTTCAGGTAGAAGTGTGTGTTCCAGAATATTGTATCCAAACAGATCACACAAAAAATAATTATGAAATTGCACATTTTGCCTTACAAATACTGACTTTGTAACAAGTCAGTATTAAAAAGGAAAAAAAGAGTAAGAAAGGAAGAAAAAAAGGGAGAGAAGGAAGGAATGATGGGAGAGAGAAGGACAGAAGGAAGGGGAAAGACAGAAGGAAGGAAGGAGGAAGGGAGCAGTAGATAAGACATACGATAGTTTCTATGTACTAGAAACAATAGTGATGAAACTATAGTTTCATCACTTAACAAAAACATGGCTATTGAATCAGTAAAGAAATTATGTTTACGGGATAGCAACAGGCATGAATGGTGTCATAACCAGCTTCAAAATGAAGTGCAAATATGAAAAGTTTGGATGCCAGTGTGGCTAGAGTAGCAAGGTACCAAATTATGTAGAGCTTTATACCCCTTGTTAAAGACTTTGATTTTAAGTAAGATGAAAAGTCAAAGGAGGGTTTTGAGAAGACGAATAGTGAACTGACTTACATTTCAAAGTAAGATGTGCTGGATATTGTGTTATAAAATGAAGTTAAAAATAAGTAGATACAAGAAGAAAATAGTGTAGTAGAAAGTGCTAGGAATCTGGACACTTGGACAATAATTGTACTGACGGAAACTGTGTGAAGTGACTATTTTTTGAACTCTGGAGTCTATTGGAATGCATTCAGCTTTCACAAGAAGGTTTGCTTTTAAACTGTAGTTAATTTTCAGCCATTAGCATGACAGTGTCTATCCATCTCTCATTCCCCACCCCTGTGGCAGGTAGCTGTGGGGACAATAGCCTGAATTCCTGGAACAGCCTGTGGGAGTCAGGGTCGGCAATAATGACCTTGCTCTTAAATATTGGGGTTCTGTGATATCATTGCTGATTACCATTTCTGATCATGGAGGTGAATAGAAGAGGTGGACAGCCATTCTCACAACCTACACTGGCTGAAGTGGCTAGTGAGATTTAAAAGGGACAACAGCTTTTTTTCCTCTTTTTCTCCCTTTTGGGAGCATGCATTTAATGACTAGAATATTCCAAAGCAACTGTGCATGTGGGAGAATTTAGAAAGCCACTTTGCATGCCCAAGGAAAAACACAAGCCAAGCAAAACCTGAAAAGACCTTAAGCTTTTATGCAGTCTGATCTTTGGCTGAGACAATGTGCAATAATTTAAAAGGAGACCAAGAAACCCTAGAGAAGGGAGATAATTTGATATCTAGATGTTATAACATAAGACTCAAAGGTCCAGTTTTCAAAAGAAAAAAATCACAAGACACTTACAGAAACAGGAAAGTATTGCTCACTCGAACAAAATCTATCAACAGAAGCTATCCCTGTAGAAGCCCAAATACTAGACAAAGACTCTAAAACAACTATATTAAAGATGCTCAAGTTGCTAAAGGAACACATTAACAAACACATTAAATTAATGTATGAAAATTAGAATATTAATTAATAGATAGAAAATACTTAGAGGAACTAAAAAGAAATTCTGGAGTTGAAAAACAAAATAACCGACATCAAAAATTCACTAGAGTGGTTCAGAAACTGACTTGAGCAGGCAAAAAAAAATAATAATCAGGAGAACTTGAAGATAGAGCAATTAAAATTGTTGGGTGTGAGAAACAGAAAAAAAAAAAAGAAAAGTGACCAGAGTCTAAGGGATCTCTGGGACATTAAGCTACAAATATACGCATTGTGAGAGACTCAGGAAGAGAGAGAGAGCAAGAGAAAGGGAATATTATTTGAAGAAATAATGGCTGAAAACTTCCTTAGATGTGATACATGAATCTATAAATTCAAGATGATCAATGAGTTTCATATAACATAAACTCAGAGAGACCCACACCAAGACACATTGTAATCAAAGTGTAGCCAAAGATAATCTTGAAAGCAATAATAGAGAGGCAATTTTTCAAATAGGGCAATTTTTCACATACAGGGATCCTTACTAAGATTGTCGTCTGATTTCTCATCAGAAACTTTGGAGGCATGGTGATACATTCAAAGTGCTGAAAGCAAAAAAAAAAAAAAAAAAAAAAAACCTCAATCAAGACTTCTATATCAAGTAAAACTGTCCTTCAGAAAATAGTGGAGAGATTAGGGAATTAGCAGTTAAACAAAAATTTAGGTAATTCTTTACCACTAGACCTGCTCTGTAAGAAATTTTAAAAGGAATCCTTAGTGTAGAAATGAAAGAATATGAGACATTACTCAATGAAGTGAAGTAATTGGTATGAAGAAATAAAGGTCTGTGGTAAAGGTAAATACTTTCAGGTAAAGGTAAATGGGCAATTTATAAAAACTAGTGTTATTATATTTTTTGTTTAAAACCCCAGTTTTTATTTTTACATGACTTAAAATTACATAAAAAGTATTCATGTCACTATACATACAATGTACAAGGCCTTAACCTGTGATACCAATAACAGGAAGAGGAAAAAACAGAACTGCATGGGAACAGAGAAATTTGAAATTCTATTGAAATTAAGTTGATATAAATTCAAATTAGATTGTTAAAATGAAATGCAAGGGGAAAGCAGCAGGGATAAATGAGGACAACTGTAACTGAACAACAATTTTTAAAAAATACTAGCCCTGGCTGGTGTAGCTCAGTGGACTGAGCATGGGCCTGTGAATCTAAGGGTTGCCAGTTTGATTCCCAGTCAGAGCACATGCCTGGGTTGCAGGCCAGGTACCCAGTAGAAGGTATGCAAGATGCAACCATACATTGACATTTCTTCCCTCTCTTTCTACTCTCCTTCCCCTCTTTCTAAAAATAAATAAATAAATAAATAAATAAATAAATAAGTAAGTAAATAAATAAATATTTTTAAAAAGAAATACTGATAAAGAAATTAAGAAAATGTTATAATAATTCCAACAAGAGATAGGGATGGCTCAGGCCAAGATGGCTGCTGTGGAGGTGGTAGGAATAGTCAGATTTTGGACATTTCCCCTGTGGTGCTGGCTATGTTTGGTCATGGATTACATTGGATTAGATATAGCCGAAGGAATAAATTTGAGAGTCATTGACATACTAATGATATTTAAAGCCTGGGTAAAGTCTGCATGAGAACTTCTAAGAAGTTTGTGTGAGCAGAGAAGAGAAATGTCCAAAGAGAAGAGTCTACAGTATTCCAAAGTATAACAAACACAGGGATAAGGAGGAACCTGCAAAGAAGTATGTGAGGAAAAATAGTATCAACACAGTAGTGACATGGAAGCCAAGAGAAACAAGTATTTCAAAAAGGAGATAGTGATGAACTATGTCAAGTAAGAAGCTTGGGCTTTAGCAATGTGTTATCAGTAACCTTGACAAAAGCCATTTTTGTGGGACAATAGGGATAAAAACCTCACCCAGGGAAGAGAAAAAGAAAACTGAAAAGAAAGGAAGTAGAGCCACAATGGGAGGTAATTTTTTTGGTAGTTTTGGTTTGTTTGGTTTTTCTGTTTAATATTAAATATAGTACAATATGTGTGCGTATGCTGATAAGAATGATTCAGTCAAAAGGGAAGATTTGATGCTGCAAGTAAGAGATGAAAGAATTGCTGGATCAGTGTCCCAAGGACATGGGGTCTAATGCACAGTGGAGGTATAGATTCTAGAAGGGATTACTTAGAAGGTCATCCCTAGTAACAGGAAAGGATGTAGATAGAAAGGTGGAGGTGACCTTCCATTCTGAGTGCTTTTCTGTTCTCAAGAACCTCAGATGAAGGACTATTCACTGAGGGTGCAAGTGATGAGGAGAAAGTAAGGTGAATCTGAGAAAAGAGGAAGTGTTCACTCCTTGGAGTGACTGGACACTCCACTCCTTGGAGTGGAGGAGTGACTGGACAAAGAGGTGTTGTGGGCTTGCAGGATGCACTGAAGACCTGTTGCAGGTTTGGGGTCACAAGTGTAAATTGACAACAAGCCTATATTGTAAATATATAGACTGACTACTGCATGCAATTCAGGCTGTCTCATACTGCACACCATTGATCTGCAATGATCTAATGTGATGCAACCATTCCTTCATCTGTACCTTTGATTTCCCCTGATACATATCCATCATAGCTTACTGCCTGTACCCAGAACTACTCAACCTGGGTGTTCCCAGCCCCAAATGCAGAGCTCTCCCCCATACCTCAGCATGCCTGACTGTATTCTAATGTCCTGTGAGGCCAAACAAAAGAGCC